TTTTCACTCTTATCCTCAAAGAAAAATGCAATTCCTTCATTTAATTATAAGAAATTAAACATGACAAAAAACAAAACAAACAAAAAAAAAAAAAACAAAAAAAAAAAAAAAGGAAAAAAAAAGTTAGAAATATTCCTTAAATTTCTGCACTTAAAACAACTTGGAAAAAAAAAAAATGCTTTTTCAGAACTACGAATTGTCCTTTCTGTCATCAGGATCATTTTTTTTATTCCCATGTGCTTGGGTGGAGCACATAAGAATATAGTTTCTGTAAACAAACAAGTTGCAGAATTGCTTTCTAAACCACTAAAGAGAGCTGCAAACACCATCATTCCCAACTCACCCAGCCTGAAAGACAGGACTGCTCTAACTATGTCTTTCACGGCAAATGTTTTTGTATTTGCCAAAGAGACTACTGATTACTTTTAAATAGTTTAGTAAAACTCTTGTTAAAATTAGAATTTTTCAATTATGATAGCACATCTAAGTTGAAAACAGGTTTTATACCATCTCAGCTTCCTGGGAAGGATACTTGAGCACTACCAATATTTTTCTCCATTGTCACTCAGACAAATTAAGTGCATAAGTCTTCTCATTTGGCTAGAGAGAAAATACTGGCTTTTATGAATGACTCCATTCAAGAAAAGATTGATTTGCATTTAAACTATTGGGTTTTCTTAGCAGTTTTCTCAGCAGTTTTCTAGCTTAATAACTCCACATGTTCTACAACTGCAATAATATTTGGTTGCAGAAAATTTTTCAGTTTGGAGCCAGCATAAATATAAAAAATATTCAGTCTTCCTTTATAGAATGGATGCACTATTACATTCTGCAGCTATACTTTCTCCTCTGCACAATGCAATTCATTATACTTGGAAACTACACCAAAATTCTTCTTGTATCAAAGTTACTAAGAGTAGTCATTTTCAGAATTTTAAGAGCTGATAAAACTATTAATAGAAAGTGTGTTTTTTATTGTATGAGTGCTACTAAGCCATCACATATTCAACAGTGCTTTCTAGTCTTGCTTCACACATAGTCTAAAAAAACATTCCTAAACTTTTGCCAGAAAAAGACGTCCACTAACAACAGACATTTCTAATTGGCTTGCCCACATTAAAAATTGAATCATCAGAAACCTATTAAAAATGCTTATCTGCAATAGTTGTGTTAACATAATACTAAACAGCAATTTCAGAACACTTAAAGATACTCACACTGCTACAGTACTTCGAAGCACATTAAGGAATATCTTCCACTTTCTATCTCAGCTACTGTAAAGAATGGCACAACTGAGATCACATCAGTCTTGTGTAGGAACATAAATCAAAATCAGGACGGTGTTTCAGCCTGAGCAATCTACAGGACTCACACATTAGATGGAATGTTTGTATAAATACTGATGGGAGTATTTCTGTTCTTGTTCATAACATCAGTATGCAGATGACAATTTGGACAGTCTTGGATGAGACCACAGGTTATCCAATTCACAGAGGACTCAGCCTTTTATGACAGGAAATTACAAACCCACCTGACACATGCACAAGTACATACATGCAATTCCATAGGGTTTCATCCTGTTACCAGCCCTTTTATTGTGGATGGATCTTCCTAGGCAGTCTACAGTCAATGTTGCTGAGAAGCTTTCAGTCTATCTCCTTCACTGCTGAATTTTTATTCTGTAGCTTCATTGTTTTCCCAACACCAATCTGAATTGAAATCATGTCTGAAAATTGGCTGTTGTGAGAACTGGCTCAGGTAAATGGAACTGCAAGGCAGAAGGAAGTACAGAGAAACTCATGGAAGTTTATTTATCACTGGCTCACTAGTCCAAAATCATATTGAAAATCACTGCCTGGAGCCTGCAATGACTCAAAGTACTCCCTGTATGAAAGTTCTGGCACTTGACCCAATTCTTTAAAAAAATAACATGACATCAATTAAATTCCCAAGCTTACATTTCAGCTCACTAGCAAGAGTATGCTTGTGGCCCTCGGAAACCGTTCTCTTTGAAACATAATGATCTAGCTTACTGACTGAGAAACAGCTACTTTCAATATTCCCACTCATAAGGTTAACAAGGTTTCTCATACATGGTTTCCAGTTTAGTGATAGAATCCACACACACTGAAGTGTGGCAGCTCTCTTCAGGTAGATAGATTCTCTTAGGAGACAGAGACACTCTCCAGTAGTTGTTACAGTTACCACAAACTTTTCACTTTTCTAAACTGCCGAAATCAACCACAAGTCAGGCTGATTGAGCCAGTCACTGGGTGCTACCTAACTAACTACTTCTTAGTGATGAAGAGTACAGAATCGGAGAATGGTTGAGGCTGGGATGGGTGTCATCTGGTACACCCTCCCTGCTCAAGCAGGACCATGTCCACATGGCTTTTGAACATCTTCAAAGATGGAGATGCTACAGTCTCCTGGAGCAACCTGTGTCAGTGTTCAGCTGTCCACACAGTACAGAAGTGCATCTCGATATTCAGCAGAAACTTCCAGTTTGTGTCCATTGCCTCCTGTCCTGGCACTGGGCACAACTGAAAAGAGCCTGGCTCCATCCTCTTTGCACTTTTCCTTCAAGTATTTATAGACATTGATGAGACCCTGCTAAGCCTCCTCTTCTCCAGGCTGTAGGGCGTGCAGCTCTCACTCTCTCCTCACTGAAGAGGAGCAACAGGCCCTTCATCATTTTCAAGGCCTGCTGTTGAACCCCAGCACACCCAGGACTCTCTCACACTAGGGGACCAGCATGGCACACAGCAGTCCAGGTATAGCCTCATCTTCCTCAACCTGCTGGCAACATTCTTCTTAAGGCAGCCCAGGGCTACCAGCAGACTCCACCACAATCCTTGTTCAGAAGGATTGTTCCTAGTCTTTAAGAAAGCCATTTTAATTTTTTGCTGTCTTATTCAGTAGAGTTCACTGACATACCTCCTTTAGTCACTCTTAAGAACAAATCAACAAAATCAGGACAGCCTGCCCTTTGTAATTTTGTGTGACTAGTTACGGGTGCTCAACAACAAAGAAATTGCTATAAAGGTCACTGAGTGCTCCTTAATAATGTGAATTTGAGAAGTTGCCACTTCCTTGCAATTACTTCTTTTTTTCACTAAGACTACATCTTTGGCAACATACAATAGCTCTTGAGACCTGACCGCACAGCTTTTGTGCTGCATTAGAACAGGCCTCTCAGAAACTTATTAAGTTTTAGACTAATTTTCATCCGGCTCCCACATACTGCACTTACCTAATATCTGCTTTAAATTCTACTGGCTTGTCTTTTTGTTATCTGAGAAAAGCCAGGCTAACACTGCTTCAAAGACCTTGGCCTCCGCAATAACAAACTTGAAATACTAGGACTCTGATCCTTCGCCTGATGAGAAATCTTGAATCCATGTTTAATTTTCTTAGGCTTGTGTTTACGTGCATATACATACACACAGACAGAACCATATCTTCGTTATTTTAATTTTCTTTCATGCATTTCTAATTACAAAATTGGACTATTTACTGTAATCCAATGAAAATGTGTTTCTGAATACCTAACAATCACAGTACACAGCTCCTCCACCAATGTATTGCCACTTGCCTGCTTGGTCACTTACACGCTGCGTATAATCAAATCTTCCAGATAATTTCACAGACGTTTTGATCTGCGCTGAAATTCACAGCGCTAGGAAAGAATGCCATTCTCCAAGATGTACAGCACACACCATCACCATTAGCAGAACCCGCTTCTGTCCTTTCCTCTGGCTGCTGAACTGTCATTTCCTTCTTTTTTCCTAACAGCTGTTACTTTTGGTATTCAGCATGTGACTCTCCCGAACGTGAGGTCGCTCAGCAAATGACCAGTGGCTCCTCAGGCACTCCAGCCCCCAAGGACAGGACGCGAGTCAGCATGCTAACTTTAGGAAAAGGGAGACCGTGACTCACTCTGCTTCTCGACAAACTCAATTGAAAACACGTTATCCCCCAGCTTCCCCTAAACTGCAGAGGAACAACAGCATCACAGGTGGGTCAACACACACTGCCTATCCTACTTCCGATGCAAGTATTTTGGACTTCTTCACTTGTGCACAAAGGGAAACAGAATATCGCGAAGGGCAACAAGATCCCAGAGAACGCTCTCCCTCGGATCACGACTGGATAGCCGCTCCTCTCGAGCACGCTTCCACGAGGCTGCCGGCAGCTCCGCGCAACGAGCCTACGAGCTCCGCGGAACGCTCGGCCGCCTCCGCCGGCACGGGCCGACACAGGCACGGAGCGCAGCGCTCAGAGCAGCCACTTAACTTCGGCTCCGAAGGCACGGAACTGACCAAGACAGCCGTGCCCATCTCCTTGCACTCCGCACCCCCTTCTCAGCCGGGCCACGCCACGCAACACCGCGCGCTGCGGACGCGCACGGCACAGCAAGGCACGCTAAGGGCGGGCTGTAAAAGCCACCGTTTCGCCCCAGAGCTCCGCCACCCCGCGCACCCCCCCTCCTTCCCCCGCGCGGGCCCGCCCACCAACGGCGGCGGCGCGGCACGTGCCCCCTCCCATCACGCCCCGCGCGCGCCTGAACGGCCGCATTGTATGTCCGAGGGAAGGGGCGGGCATCGCCCTCTCCCCGCCCGCCCAGCGAAGCGCGAGGACGGGACGCGGCCGGCGGAGGAGGGCGGGCGGTGCCAGTGCGGCGGCAGCCAATGGGGACGGCGCCTGGCGGGGCGGGGGGCGGAGCTCGGCGGGCGCGGCTTTGAGTTGCCGCAGCGCCAGCGCTGCTTGTAAACAGATCCCGCCCCGCGTGACGTGCGGCGGTACCTGCGCGGGGCATCGGGCATTGTCCGCCGCGGCGGCGGTGGGTAGCGTGAGCTCGCGCGAGCGCCTGCCGGCGTCCCCTCTTCGTTGTCCTCTCGCGCCGGGACGCGGCGCATCGCCCCCAACGCGCAGCGCCAGCCGCCCCCTCCCCCCCGGCGCTAAGATGGCTGGCGGTGGGCGGTGAGCCGCGAGGGCTGCGGGCTGCCGGCCGGCCGGCGAGCGGGGGCGGCCGACGGGACGGAGCGGAGCGGAGCGGGGGGAGGCGGCCGCGCAGCGCCATGTCCGCCTTCGCGCTGGAGGAGACGCTGGAGGCCGACTGGGTGGCCGTGAGGCCTCACGCCTTCCAGGAGCGGGAGAAGCACAAGTTTGTCTTCATCGTGGCCTGGAATGAGATCGAGGGCAAGTTCGCCATCACCTGCCACAACCGTACGGCGCAGCGCCAGCGCAGCGGCTCCCGCGAGGCCCGCGCCGCCCCCAAGGCCTCCAGCCCCGCGGCGCGCAGGGGCGCCGAGCCCGCCGTGCCGCCCCGCGCCGAACGGGCCGAAGCGCTGCCCGGCAGCCCGCTGCGCGCCCCCAGGGGCGGCCCGGCGCGCAGGCCGGCGCGGGGCGCGGAGGCGGCCGCCGAGGAGATGGAAGTGCTGGAGCTGGGCAGGGAGGAGGTGGCCGAGGCGGGCGCTCCCGACGCGGAGCCCGCGGGGGAGGAGTGCAGCTGGGCCGGGCTGTTCTCCTTCCAGGACCTGCGCGCCGTGCACCAGCAGCTGTGCTCGGTGAACTCGGAGCTGGAGCCCTACCTGCCCGCCTTCCCCGAGGAGCCCTCGGGCATGTGGACCGTGCTGTTCGGGGCGCCGGAGCTGTCGGAGCAGGAGATGGACGCGCTGTGCTACCGGCTGCAGGTCTACCTGGTGCACAGCCTGGACACCTGCGGCTGGAAGATCCTCTCGCAGGTGCTCTTCACCGAGACCGACGACCCCGAGGAGTACTATGAGAGCCTGAGCGAGCTGCGGCAGAAGGGCTACGAGGAGGTGCTGCAGCGGGCCCGCCGGCGGATCCAGGAGGTGAGGCTCCAACGCGGTCTGCACCTCTGTGGTACCTTTCCCTTCCTCTGTGATAGCTGCACTAGCAGTTCGTTGTGCTTGGGCCGGTCTGCCTTGGCAGAATCGACCGAGCCAGGGATGAGTAGGAGCAGGGGGCTTCACCTTCCTAGGGTCTCCACCGCCAGGATTTAAAAGGTGCAGATTTCAGTCTCAGCTCGGTGCGATTCGTTGCTTTGCTCTCTGCAATCAAATGCAGACGTTTGTGAGCAAAGATCTTGGGGGTTTGGCAAGGCCTTGCTGCCAGACTTCTGCTGTTGCGTTGCTTTGCGCTAAGATGGGTTTGTAGCCTGTTTAATAGGAGCAGCAACATGTGGTGTTTATTTTGATAATAAAGTTTAGTCACTGGAGGCCAAAAAATTTGGGCTCTGAATGCTGAATCCAGATGATGTCTTGTAGAACTGGCATAGCTACAGCGGTTGCGCAGTCTTGGTAGGTTCTCAGAATTGGGTTTTCAGCAAGAGCAATCTGGTCCTAGCAAGAGCTCTGCACATTGCCAGTGTCTGATGGGCCTCAGGTGCTGTTGGATGTGCTGTCTCGCTTCCTCGTACCTTACTCTGCTCAGATAGAAACAGTTAAGGAGGTTGCTTCTAGGTTCCAGCTTCAGCATGTTTTTTTTTTAATATCTTGTTACAGTTGAGGGTCTGTGAAAGCTTATATTTGCCTTGTTGAGAAGGAGGTTCTTGTTTTTGTACTTCTGTCGCTTCATGTAGAATGCACCAGGTCCAGGGGTGACTATGTGCGTGTATCAGGCTGTGGCATTTTTAGTTTTTGTAAACACCATCAGAGTTCTGCTTAAGGCTGTAATTCAAATTTAGCTGTTTCTGCAGCCCACGTATATCCTACGGTGTAGTGCTTTCAGAAATGTGTGGTGGTGAATCTTAGGTTTTTCTAACCCTTAATGATGTATGAGCATACATGCTTGCTATTTGTGAAGATGGCATAGTGTTGAGTCTAGGTAGGATTCTATGATTTCTGTAGTGATTAAAGTTACAGAGTATTAGAAAAATGTTGTCTTTTCAGTCGTGAAATCATGACAAGGGCATTTCAGTGTAGCACTGTCAGATACAAGTTTATTTCCAAACTGTTAAATTAGAATATATCTTTGTGAATTTTTCTTATTACTTTTTTCCACTGCTATTTAAAGGGCTGAATTATTCATTGTTAATTGTTACATATTACTAGTCATCAGTCTAACAATGTTCTGCAGAAGTTTTAACGCGGAGCATGTGGAATTGTATAATCTACCATTTTTGGCTGCATAAATGATTGGTAACATGTGCCTAGATTCAGTTGGCCTTCTGCTGAGCAGTTTTTGGGAGTAGCTAATCAGTATGAGAAATGTTCCTGTTAAATGAAGAGTTTGGGTACTGGCTATCTAACTCAAAGTTCATGGTGTTTCTTAAGAAACACCCGTTCAAATTTTCTGTGCAAGAATTATTTGCTTCTTAGAGTCTCAACTTTGATCTTATTAGCACCAGTGCTGCAGTCAAAAGATAAATCAGTTATCAGTAGTCACTACAAGCTTTATCCGTAAACGTTCTGTTCTCTGCTTAATGTTCATAATCTGGTGCAGACAAAATGGCAGATCATGTTTGTGTACTTGACTACAGTAGTCTTCCTTTCTCATGGTAACCAATCTACTAGTGTGCCTTGTGTCAGTAAGAGGTACTTCTGTCACTGTCCATTGTGTAAATCAATCCTTCTTTAATTAAAGGTAGTTCATGTTTAAGAAAAGAAACCAATAGAATGACCTGCATTTTCCCTTTTGGCTCTCAAGTTTCTCTTTTCCTTGCTTCTTAGTGGTTTACTTGGTCCACAGTGTTTTTCGTTGAAGCAAATGCTGATATTGCCTGCCATCGAATTCTAAGCAAATGAAGCAATGGGTGATGGGTGTTGGTATTTCTGAAGTAAAGGTTTCTCATAATTTTAGGTAGAACGTGCTGATCCAGTGTTTCTTCTCATTGTTTGATTTACTTTTCTAGCTATACCTGAAATCTGCCTGTTGAGAATGTTGGACTAGTTGAAGTAACAATTCTAAGCATTTTACTTTCAGATTTTACTTCTTAAAAGAATTTTTAAGGAGGTGGGGAAGGGAGTGAAGGCCATCGGGCAACTAAATACTAAGGAGCATATACAGGACTTTCATTTACATAATGTTGCAAGGAGTATAAGTTTAAAACACCAAGGATTTGGTTTAACATGGTAAGATGTGCTTCTGAGGCTTATCATTACTTCCTGTGTCTCCTTTTCCAGGGCAGTTTTCTGTGTGCAGTTACAGTCTTCAGAAGTGCTTGCAGTTTCTTATGCTTATGTTTTTTTTGGTGTGAAGGGACAAAGTGAACAGCAGAACCTCTCCTGTTCATTGCCTCTGCTTACTCTACGTGGCCATCTGTTGCTCCAATTTATTCTCAAAGTAATTAATGGTTGTTGCTTTTTGTAATAGGCATTTTTATCTCTGTCACAATTATAAGCCTTTGGTAGGCCAGCAGAATGTTACAAGTAGAAACAGACCCAAGATGAGAGGAAAAATAGTTGCAGAGTAGTTACATGACATGGAATTATTTTCTTCTGCATAACTTAGTGTTTTGAAATAGCGCATCTTTTATTTTATCCTAACAAAACTGTTAATTCTATAATAACTTAAGGACAACTGTGTCAAAGTAAATTCTCGTATCTAAGGGAGTAAAAGTTATTCTGCCTCGGTTTTTTTGGACAACTATTAGTCTCTTATTTGCAGCCTGGTTTATTAAGATTTATGCCTGTTTAAAAATTTCTCGGGTGCTCAGCTACAGAGCTAAACTCCCAAGTAGAAACATGATGTAAAACCAGTTAATGACCAGATAAAAAGATGTTACTATTTCAAAACAGTGGATACCACCAAATCATTCTTTAGCATTACAGCTTCTTGGCCAGTATTTCTAAGACCTTAACATTTTGTATCTAGAAGGCAGAAAAGGTTATTTTCTCTACTCCTTACTGACAGTTTTCTGGCTGTTACAGTGTGGGAGGACCTTTTCAGGCTAAGTGTACATGCTTTTAAGTCTTTGTGAACATAGTAATATCAAAGATGGTTACTACATATTTGTCATAGCTGTGTTGGCAAAAAGTTGAATGTCGTCACAGTTTTACTGAATAAGAAGTGCTGTTAGTATAAACTATGATTAACAGGGCTTGGTGGCATAGTTGTGCCAACAAACATTCTGTTGTATGCTTATCCTTTTCTTGCTCTTGCATAGCAAGTTGTAAGTAAGGAAGCCTCTCTTTACAATTCATGCCTACTTTGGCATGTTTGAGTTAATGCTACCTGTAAATCTCGCTTTTCCTTAGAGCACAAAAGCTGCAGCAGTCTGGAATTTGGCAGGTGACACTAAATGTCAGTTATAAAACCAGTTGCAGACTTGCTTTCATTTTGCTGTTTGTCTACATAACTTGTGGATTCTTATTACTGTAGGCAGACTGAAAGACCATTCTGCACATCTGTTCTCTGGGTTCTTTTGAGTTGCTCCAGTATGAAAGCTCAGAAGTGTGTCAGTAAATGGTTTCTTCAGAAGAAGCTCTGAGAGCATCTTGTTTTCAGTGTCTAACTTCTGACTGCCCTGGGGCTGGCAGCATCCCCCTTGTTCAGTGGAATGTTAAGCACCAAACTAACTGCGTGAACTTCAGTTTTATGTTGGTTGACTTAATTTTCTTGCAACTAGAAAGGTTTGTGAAAAATAAGGTCAGAATGTTTTATGTGTTTTGTTACAGTAACAACTTCTTTTTAAGAAGAAATTTTTTTCTTGTTTGCTGTTGGTGTGGTGGTTTTTATTTCTTCATTTGTTTGTCTCTTTTAAGAAAGCTTTTCTGTTACTTTCTTCCTAGCTGTTAGGTGTGCTTGTAGGGAGGCACTCACAAAAATTAGTTTTCCACAGGTAAAGTGACCTGTTCGTATTTGATGATCTGCTAAGCACAGTGTGATTTAGAAAGATTTCAACATCAAGGTGTTAAATTATCCAAAATTAAGTAATCCATACCGCTGTGGAGAAGTACTTAGTGCACTAGTACAAAAAAATAAACACTGGCAGTGGTGTTTCTATCAAAACCAGTGTAACATCTCTATGAAAGAGTACAGAAAACTGAACCGTGGATGTTAGCTACAATAGCTAGATTCTGAAGATGCATAAGGTGTCTTGTGGGACAAAAGAACATAGCCTAAATTAAATTGGCATGCATAGAGATATACTGTAGTTTTTTGGGGGGTTTTAATCTCTACTGAAATATATAGAACAGAATCAGACTATTGCTGAGCATTCTGGAAATGCAGCCTATTTTTGTTTGAGTTCTGTTACGAACTCAGTAGTTACAGAGGTAATGCTTTTTTTCCAGTAAAACCGTTTTGATTCATTTTGAATACTTTGTAAATAAGCCACATAAGTTACTATTAGACAAAATGTAGTGTGTCAGTAGTTGTAGAGCATGCTCCGTACAGCAGGTAGATCAGCCCCACATTCATAAGAACAGTTCTGTGAGAATTGTACTCTGTCTCTCAGCAACTTCTGTTGTTGTCCAACTGAAGATTTTTTTTTTTTTTACCCCTCAGTTTGTTCTTGAAGGCCACCTTCCACCTATTTACCTAATCAGCAGTTGGAGTCATTAGCAGTCGCATTTGGTTGTTAGAGTAGTCTTGAGGTAACAAACATTTCAAATGTTTGGCATTTTAGTGACTGAAAGTTCATAACTGACTCATTCTGTAAGTATACCCACTACTCAAGGTAAGAGCATATATTTTTACAAAAGCAGAATTAAATGTGCAGTGGTTCCTCTCTGCACTTTCTGCAAATGATAAAAGCATAAGCCAGGTAGGTATTTCGCTTCTTAAAGTTTCTGAACTTTTGAATTGCAATGGATTTCTGAAATGCAACATTTATTTACATACACAGAACACAAGTTAAATGCTTTTTGTAAGGAATTGATATTACTGA